GGGCACTGAGGATGGGGTTTCTACCAAGTGTTGGAGGTGCTGCCCAGGCTGGAGCTCATAGAGGGGTTCAAAGTCTGTCTCCCCGCCTTGGGATCTAGAATTCTGCTTCTAGATACTCTGTAGAGGTTCAAAGTTGCCATATTTGTTGACAATTCCAGATGCGATACCTTCCAAAAAACTCTGATGAAGCTTATACACCCATGCTTCTGACTGAGGTGTCCCAGGGGCCTCATGCCTTGTTATGCTATTGTCACTGGATGGAAAAACTTGTTGATGGTTGGAGCTCAGACTAAGAAATACCCAAGCAGTCACCTTTGCTTTTAAAGGAGATCAAATTTTAACCATTATCCTTGCAGACCACAAAAATGAGAATACCCTGTGCAATGGCCAAGGCAGGGCCAAGGTGGCAGCTTCTGAGCCACGGCCTCCTGCCATAGTCACCATACCCACTAGCCTCCCAGACATCGAGGGGCAGAAGCAACCCATTGAAGAGCTCTCAGGGCATTGGCGGGGGGCCAGAACCACCATGTAGGTCAACCCTGGGCTCCCTCCAGGGCCCCGTGAGAAGGCAGGCAAAGGGTGTGCAAGTGCACACCCGGCACTCCCTTGCTGCCGGCCCCCACGGCCCCCACGGCCCCCTTACTTTGAGCGTGCTGTTCTTGGCACTCAGCTGCTGCTCCAGCTGGGAGATCTGGCTGGCCGAGTTCTCCCGCAGCTTGGTGAGGCTGGCCTGGAGTCTCTGCACGTCCTCCACCAGCTGGGCGATCTCCCGCTCTTTGGCGGCCAACTCAACTTCGAGGCTAGAGCGGGTCAGCACCTCTATGGCCTGCTCCTGGGAAGGAGAAAGGAAATGACAAAACTGCACCGGCGTCAGGCAGGTGCTCGAGGTTAGCTGTGCAGGCAACCAGGGCAAACACAGGCAGATGGGAGGATGTGAACAGTGAGCTCATGGTAAGACATTACTTGCTGCCTCTGCTTGGACAGGACCTGCTAACTGCCTTCCCCACACCACCTTTCCATCTGCGTGGTGAGCTGCCATCGGCATTTGTCCATTCAGCAAGCATTTACGAGGACCTCCCTTGGATGAAAGGGTAGAAGTCCCTTTCTTCACAGGGCTTCTAGTCGTGGGGTGGGTGAGTGAGATGTACTAAATCCATTTATTAGTGGCATAAAGCATGTTGGGTGGTGATAAATGCCAGAGAAAAGCTGAAGCAAGAAGGGGTCACAGGGTCAGACTTGAGAGAGGCAGTTGGGGTTTTTAATAAGATGGTCAGGAAAAGCCTCATGGGACAGTGATATCTGAGCAAAGATCTGAGAGAGGCGACAGAAAGGGCCCTGTTGGTGGCTGGGAATGAGTGCTTCAGCCAGGGGAATGACAAATGGGAAGGCTCTGGAGTGTTCCAAAGCGTTCAGATTCTCCCACCAGATGGGATTCAACATCCTTTCAGTTCATTACTAAGGTATCTAGATGCTATGCTGTTTGACAAACTGATTTTCAGAGTCAGCATTTTAAAGAGTTAAAAGATGTGGAAGAGGCCCATTTGGGGTTCCTTTACTTAGAATTCTTATGCTGATTGATGTTTTAAAAAACTTCCCCCCTTCCCCAATTTGCTCATAGTGGAAAATATGCAAAACAGGGGAAAGGTGTAAAAAAAAAAAAAAAAAGAAAGAGAAAGTTAAATCTTTAATTCCACTTCCCAAGGACTAAAGCAGTACATTTTTCAAGTTTTGTAAGTAATGATAGCTCCTGAGTGATTCTGGAAGCTTTTCTTCAGGGCCGGTGCACTTTTGGGCATGGCTGATGGGGTGGGGAGGGTACAGCGTATGGGTGTCTGTGACGGCAGAGGCCTGGGGCAGCTCACACTGCAGTGTGGAATGAATGCGCCACCCTCGCTGTCATCCACTTCACGTCTTTTAAAAAATTTTATTTATTTATTTTGCAGAGAAAGA